CTCCGCTTATCTCTTCCTCGCTCCTCTGGAGATGAGAGCACATTCTTTACTCCCCTCCCACAATTCCAGTCCATCACAGTAAGTCAAGGACTACCTGTATATGTTTATGTAATACTCTTTTCACAAGAGTATTACACATATATATTCTCCAGAATTGAACAGCAATCTATAAAAGCTTGTTTATAAAGCAGACAAAGCACATTTCTCTGATGTCCCTTAAAGAAGGGAGCCACTTATCTTTATCTTACCAAGTTTTTCAAATCAACACAAATCACTAGTGGCTGAGTCAAGACTTCTTGTATTTGTAGATATCAGAAGATATTTGTGGACAGTATAAACATATTTTTTATCAGGATATCAAAACATTAGAGAAATAGATCAGGAATTGAATTAATAAATAATAAAATAAAATAAAATAAAATAGCCTCATTTTCAGCATTATAACTATATAATGCAAGCAAGCTTGCCAAAGTTCCCATTCTTCAGTCCAAGCCACAAATTGAAAGCCAAGCTAGTGGTGATATTTTAGAAAGTTTAAAGTAACCAAATACATTGAACACATGAAAGGTCTCCTGAAATTGTAACTGATCATTGTTTGATAGATGGCTTACAAGGAGACCTGGATACTGCCAACAGTTCAATCCCAAAATTAATTAAGGATGTGAAACAAGTTTTATATAATTATCATGTGCAGAAGAAAAAAAGACACAAATAAATAAACACAGGGTAAGATCCAAGATATATCTCATATTAACTTAATTCCTAAAAGGGATTTTTAACATAAAAACCATTAACATAATATTAGAAAATAAATCTGGAAACAGGTCCCCGGAAGTGTTTTCTAACCATGCAGTTACCCCAAAGAATTGCTCTATGAGCTTTTACAAGACAGTTACTGAATTATTCTGAATCTGTCACATGGCTATAGTCCCCGTAATAATATGACTCAAATCACACTTATTTGGGAACAAATTCCATTTCCAAAATGGATGGAATTTTCTTTTAAATTAATTGAGAATATTTGCCTAAGGGAGCTATATCTGATTTTGTATCTTGACAGATACACATTTCATTCTATTGTAATTCAGTTATACTCCTAATTCAGCCACCTGCTGAAGAACATGAAGATATAGTATTAAAAAAGCACATTCTCAGTAAAATTACTATAATTACTGTTATTTAGCAAGTACTTAAGAAGCAGGTTGGAAAATGTGCAGAGACATAAAAGGCTTATCCTAGATGGAAAAGGCATAGGAAGTAAAAACCTGCTAAATTACTAATGAACACTAATAAATGTGCAACTATAATGCATTTGAAAAGGCTTTGCTGACTGAGAAGATATTTAGACCTAAGAGTATTACTACTGACATAATCTAATGGTGTCATTTATTGTCCTCAACTTGAAAGTTATGATTTGCTACCCCATTTGTATTAAGCTGCTTCCCAGAGTTCAGAATTCCATACAAGAATGTGAATCTAATAACCACCACCACTAATTTAAAAATTCTCCATACGGCTGCTGTAATTTGTAGTTAAGGCAGTCTTCCTCTTTAGAGGAGGAAAGTAGTAACCTGGAAGAAGGCACTGAGGATGTAGAAAAGTAGGCTAATAAGATCTTATGTAGGGTTTACCCCAGGCAGAAGAAAAGAGAGGAATCAGAAAGAGGGGATAATGGATGAAAGTATTTGGGATATCAGGAGCAGTAGGAAAGATAAAAGAGTTGTTTCCCGGACTTAATATTTTCAATTACTGTATACATCACACATGCATGTAACACTTCTGTAAACCCTATTAAGTTCTGAACTTATATGAAACGTACACAACCAATGTGATTCATTCCAAGAACAAAATCTTCAAGTGGAAGAGCAGGTGGTAGCTGTGGCAAAGAGGGCATTTGCACACCTTTGGGTTGTGCTCCAATTGCACCCATTCCTGGACCAGGAAGCTCTACTCATTGTCACTCATACCCTTCTGTCTGGATTACTTGAAGAGCACTCAGAAGCTTCAACTGATGCAGAATGCAGCTTCATGGGTAGTAAATAGTATCAGGTACTCCGTACATGTAACACCACTGTTTTGTGAGCTTCATTGGTTGACAGCGTGTTTCTGGGTGCAATTCAAGTGCTGGTTGTCACCTCTAAAGCCATTCATGGCTTGGGACTGGGTTACCTGAGGGACCATCTTCTCCCAGTTGTTTCTACCCATCCAATCTGGTCTGGCAGGATAAGCATGCTCCAGGTCCCCTCAGCCAAGGAATATTGGCTGATGGGGACTAGGAGCCATGCCTTTTCTGCTGCAGTGCCTTCCCTCTGGAACATTCTCCCTCCAGAGATTAGGATGGCCCTGACCCTGGTGGCCTTTCATAAGGCCTTGAAGACCTGATTATCTGCCCAGGCCGGGGGCCCTGAGTGTGTTAAGGGGCCCGTTTCCTGGTTATCTTAACATCTATGGATTATAATTTTTCTTGGCTGCTGTACATATTTAATTTTCTTTTGTATTGTGCTTGTAATTTGGTTTTAATTGATTTTATGATTGCCACCCAGAGTCACTTGTTTGAGATGGGCAGCCATATAAATTAAATAAATTAAATAAAATAATAATTCTTGTGCACACATGATTGGATCTGTATTCAATTCCTTCAATAATAGCAAGACTCAAGCTACTGTTTAAAGATTTCTAGAAAACCAGGAAGATCATATATTTCCAAAATAATTACAATGAACTATATTGGTCTATCTCCAGGAAGGGAAAAGAGTTCATCTGGCACTCAAACTTGTTTTCCTTTAAGCCTTCATTAGAGCCATATGATCTACTCCAGCATTAATAAGTAGAGATTTTGTTCCTAACTATAGAATAACATGTATGAAGGGATGAATAAGTGGAACCATGAAAAAAGGCCTTCCCCTTTTAAGGAAAAATCTTTCTCCCTTATCTATAGCTATTATTGTTATGCTCTGAAGAAATATAGATATATAACTGTGGGACAAGCTTCTTATCATGAAATTCTTTCCAACACAATGAACACTTAAGTCCCTGTTACATACAATAAAATTTGCAAAGCACCAATATTGGCAGATTGCTTGAAGCAAGCTGGCCATCAGTATGAGGAAGGCAGTGTTGGGCAAGGCACAGAAAATGTTTTTGGGGCTAAATAGAAAGTTCATCCCTCCCAACAGTCAAAAAGCTGCAGTAATATACAATTTGGACCCATACTGCTTTCCTATAGTTTTTAGAACCACCCACCACTTTATTGCAATATTTCTCTGATATCTCTCTGATAAATAAAAACAGATATAGAACCTCAACAGTTAAAAAAGACAACATAAAATATTAGTGAATAGTGGCAGAATCAGTCTTGCATCTTGAAGTCAAGAAATCTGTGCTGTCACATATTTGGCAAGGGCTTATCAAAGGGTCTGAGTCAGCTGGAAATGCCGAAATCATAGAATGACTGATTGACTAATGAGACAGATTATTACAGTCACAGACTAAATACCAGAGAAGAATCAAATGTCATCCATAATTTAAAACAATAAAAGACGGTATAAACAATAGATTTTAATATCTAACACAATTGCAATTATATCCTATATTCTACCCAGCAGCTGGCACCTAACTTAAAAATCATCAGGG